TCACATGTGCAAAAGCCTTTCGTGTGCTTATCCTTATGCACATACATGGCTTAAACATATGCTATGCATATGTTTGGAAATTTGGTCATTCTACAATGCGTTCTCCTTTGTTTGCAAAGCCATTTACCAGGAGGACTCGGAGCACAGGGGTGGTGTTACTCAGAAACAGAAGCATTTCTGCCTGAATGAGAGAGGGGTGTGGATAGAAGGCCCAAGGGACCAAGGGGAAGCAGAAGTGAACACCAACATTTTAGGAAAGAGCAGAACTGCTTTCTTTTTAATTTATTCTGGTACATGTAACTAAACAGGGCTGGATACTTCTCCCTTTGCTTGATTTGAACTCAGTGCAACAGCTAGTAGAGTAAGCGGCTCCCTTACATGAATAAAATTACCAGAATCTGGCCTGGAGAATGTTGCCTTTAGAAATATTTAAAAACATATTTGATTCTCTGTGTTGTATATCCTTTTCCTACTGTGAGATTATTTGATAATATAATTTACAAAATCCCATGTAAAACCCCACAATATTACAAAGTAAACATTCAAAGAGAAAACCTGAAATGTGCCAGGCTCCCTTATTTTGTCCCAATTAAGAGAAGATCTTTTCTTGTCTTGTTTTGATTTCTAAGAGGATGTTTCTTTAGTGTTGGATTCTCAGAAATCTTTTTTTTTTTTTTTTTTAGTAATTAATAATGGAGCAGGCTTTTAGTATCTACCCTGGAAGGTAAAAACCCTTAATCACAGTAACATCATTAGTGCTTTCAAGCATTTAATTTTGATGCTTGACAAAGTGCATAGCCATTGATAAGAACAAATAAGTGGTGTTGTGTGCAATTGAGGGAAAAAAGAAAAGCATGAAAACCCCTAAGCTTCAAGTAATTAAATCTAAATATGTTATTTGAATTTAGCTGAGATAATGTACAAACTGTGGGTATATTTTTCAATCAGTGAAAGACCCCTTGAGTAAACATGATCCATTTAAATTCAAATCATGGGGAGTGGAAAGTAAACCCTGCTGTGATTAAGAAGGCATCTTCACTAAAACACTGGGCATTGTGTATCTTTGATATCTGAGTACTCATGTGTTGTAGTTTTATAAAGGGCTGTTTTCACTCATGGGTGCCTTCGTGCCAGAGACTTTATTGCATCTATTTATTTCCTGTTTTTTCCTCTCCCCCCCCTCTCCTAATTTGAACCAGTAATGAAAAACTGACACTCTGCTTCTGCCATCCTTTAAAGTGCCTCAAAACTGTTATAATTCAGCACTTATTAGCCTTGGGATATGGCTTTATGGCATTTGGGTGCAGTTTTTGTACTACATCTGTGCTCTTTCTCTCTCTGTAGGGCGCAAGCTCAGCACTGCAGTAATAAAACTACTAGTAGGTGTTTAATGGAAGGTTACTGAGGAAGTAGATAAAAGAAAATTGCAACATTCACATCAGTAGGGAGTGGGGGGTTTTAAGCGAGAGGAACTGCTGAGCTTTGAACTAGGGAAAGTTACACTTGGTGCTTTTGTTCAAGGGGACCTCTTTTTAGATACCAAAATACCTCGTCATTCTTCCCTGTGAAATGGGCTGCTCTTGTAGAATTGGTGCTTGGTGTGTACAGTCTGTGCACATGTGGCAGAAAAACTTGCTGTTGTAAGCAATGTTGATTGAGAAACAAGTTTTTGCTTAGTGTTCCTTTCCAAATATCAGGGAGTAGAGAGGAGGAAGGTGCAGAGAGTGAAGGAAAAAGCGATCTCCTATTCTTTTCCAAAATTATTATGTGATCTTACTGCGAATATCTCAATTGTGGGCATTACTGTTTTTGGTCTTCAGTATGTTTTGTGTAGGAATCTTTTATTCTGCTCATGATCAAAGCATCATTTTACAACCTGTTACATGTTTATCTTCACACCATCCCTAAGAGGCAATTTAAAGGCAAAAGGGAGAAGAATAAAGAATGTAAATATTTTGCAGAAGCTTACCCAGAAGGCTGTGACTGCTGCCTGGATTGCCACCATGAGCTGGCAGTGGTGATGTCCTCTTTGTCCTGGAATCTACTGACTGGACTCTTACGCCCTTTTGGTAATATATGTCCAAGGAGACCCAGACCTGTTGTTCTTCCAGAAATGCAGTCTTTCAACTACCCAGGTCAGCTGGTGAATCCTGGAAAACAAGGAAAGGAACAAACCTGATTCTTAGGACTATTTGCAGAAATAAGAGAGAATTTAATGGAGGGTTTTATCCATACATTAAGATAATTGTAGTACTCTGTGTGGTTACTGAGCCCAGTTCCTCAAGGTCTACAGAGCTGCAAATCACCATCCTATTGCATAGACTGTTTAGACCATTACAAGTCTGTGCTGCAGATGTGTCAAAGAGCTCCTGGACAGCCTCTTATGATTCTGGTACTTCATACTGTAGTTGGACTTCAACACTCTTAGGATTTCTGTATACCATCTGGGGAGACAGGTTGTACAGTCAAAACAAAAGAAACCTCAGAAACAAATTGCTCATCTGCAGAATACAGGACAAAAGAAGAGATTAAAAGTTAAGTAGGATGAATTTGCATGTAAAAGACAGGAAGGAAAAAATAGGGCCATTCTTACAATTTTAATCATAAGGAGTAATAAAGGAGTTGATGTGCAAGTCCTCTTTGTGTCCTGAAGGCCAGGAGCAGGTTGTTTATTCTACTATGGTGCAGTGCCTAGGATCAGCTGTCCATTTTTGAGAGACATGAGAAAGCACTTGTTAAACTATATAAAGCTAAGCATCTTTCACAAGAAGGGGTAGTTAATATATATTCTTGTGCTGCAAATAGCCATTTTACAACAGAGAAGAAATGTGTTTTCATACAGCGCTTACCAACCCAATATTGAAGGACTCACTAAATTCCAATATAAATGCCTGCAGAAATGAAATGGCAAACCAAGGAGGTTAAAAAGAGGATAAAGGAAAGAAAGTGAACTTTCTCTCTACAATTCTTGAGGTCAGACCAGCATAAGCGACAGATTCTCAGTAAAAAGAATCTCCTGTCTGCCCTGCATGAGGCACCGATTAACTAAGCAGATTTCTCTCCGGTTGGTTTATCAGTAATGTCACGCCTGTGTGTGTTTTAGGGTAACAAATCTGATTTCTAATTTATTAGCTGAGCAGTATTCTTACTGCAAAGGGGAAGAAAAAAAAGTCTCATTCTCTGTTGAGGAACTGTGAGGTTAAGCAGGTTCTCAGTCATGCCACAGACACAACTTGATGGAGCACACCTGGATCCTCCCTGTTGGCTGTGTTTATAGTCTCCTCTGTCATCCAGTATTTGCCTTTGCATGTGAGAGACAGACAAGGAAAAAGAGAGAAAGATTCTGGAGGCATTTCTAACAGAGATGCCAAACTGTCAAATAGTAAATCGGGAAGCAGCTCCCTGATGGTTTCACATCAAGAGGAGACACCCTTTTGTGACTGTGTGGCGTCTTCTGGTTATTTTCACTTCCATCAGAACTGTCTGATATGGTCAAGTAGGTTTGAGGCTTTCAGCATTCAATTTTCCTTGCATTTATTGTGACTGTTTTATTTATTTGTCTTTCTCGGTAGTTTTCAAGGATACACGTTTCAAGGATACTTTTTTGCTCTCTAACGTTTTCACGGATCGTCATCCCAAAGTTAAGGGTAGAAAAAGAAACCAAAAGAAAAGCAAAGGGGGAGAAAAAGAGCAACATGGCTACAGCTTCAGGGGACAAAAGAAATCTATTCAATTTAGGAAGACCTCTAATCTCTGGTTATACAGGACAGCTTTGTTAGATAAGATTAAAAATTTCATGAATGTCCCTTTTTATCCCTGGAGACTCCGCCATTTATACCAGCTATTGTCAGCGTCAAAAGAGCTTGATAACAGCTGGCTAGAGACGTGACCACACAGCAACACAACAGCAAGAAAGGGGCAGCCGGGTCCATAAATCTTCAGAAAACCCGTTCCCCCAGTGCAGACGTGAATCTGCTGCTATCACGGTCAAAGGGAGAACGCACGGGCCGCCAGCCAGTCGAAACCCTGAACTTCAGCATTAGCAGGGCTGTATTCAAAGTGTAGGGTGCACAATGAGATGTTTGCTATTATCTTCTTCATTGCAGCCCTTATTACTACGCACAGATGCAGTTGAAGGGATCTTTGAGTTCAGCTTGTTGCTAGGTAGAGTTTTCCCAAAAATCTCACAGCCCTTACCCTTGGCAGTGTAATCCTGCTTTTTCTATTCACTGCATCAATACAGCGCCATGTGAGACAGGCTCAGATGATGCCAGTTCGGTACATAATAGACCAATCTCTGATATCTTCTGGCTGGGAAGGAGCTATCAAAGCCAGAATCTGGCCCTTGGGCGCTGAGCTTCCCCGTTCTCCTGGGACTGCTCACAGACTCAGGGATAAGCAGGGCAAGTTAGGAAGCACAAACTGGCTCAGACTCTTGAAATACAAGTTTCCTGGTTTTCATGGGAGGGTCCAAATTCATATGTGTTCAGCATTATTCTGGCCTTACTTAATTCAGCGGCAATATTTTCTCAGCTTTAGAGAAAACCAGATTGGTCCCTCAGGAATTTCGTAGTTCCTGTAAAGCAAATAGCCAGTGAAATAACATCAGTTAATTTTAGGAGATGGAAGAAGAGAATCACTGTGGACCAAAACAAAAGACTGCCTAACAAAGGACAAAAATAACACAGAATCTTTAGGACCTTAGCCTCCTATGGAGGTGTGTACCTGGACATTGCAGTGTTTAGACAACTGTATTGTTACTTCAAAACTCACCTATCTAGCATTCCCCAGAATCCAAGAACAAGCTTTATCAGAGAGGATGAAATGCAATTTTGTTAGAGAAAACAGGGAAGGTACTTAATGCTGCTAACCTCCCCCCTGCAAGAAAAACATAATTTCTGAAAGTGCTCATGTTGTGAAAGCTATGATTCAAAATACATGTTCCTCATTAAAACTAATCTATTGCTTATATTTTTTTTTTCTTCTTCTTCTTCTGGCAGCTCCGTCCCCAATTGCTTTAATCCAGGCTAAAGAGATAACAAGGCACAGCGTTGCCTTGGCTTGGCTGGAACCTGACAGGCCAAATGGAGTCATCTTGGAGTATGAAGTCAAATACTATGAAAAGGTATGGTTCAAAAATAGACAAGCAAAGAGTTTTGCTTGGGTTTGGGGAGAGCATTTTACTTTGTTCCATTATGGTTTATCTACGGATAGGATTCCATCATTTGAAACCAAATAGATTCGGTTTTAAAAATCAAATTAAGGATTTCATGCACTTGAATGGTTGCTTGAAAGAATAGGACTCACAGGCTGTTTCTGGAGTATGGTACGAGTTTATTTTGTTATTTTTTCCTACCTAGGAACTGAGCTTTTGTAGCAAGCATGTTTATAATGAGAATCAATAACGTTGGCAGAAGTGAGACATTAGCTTTACTTCATAGACAAAAATATAATAATGAAGTATATAACACAGTAATAATAATAAGATCTGTTTGCCAATAGCTTCTGCTTAGAGTGATAGTGTGGGCTGGATGGCTTTTAATAGAGAATAGGAGAGAAAATTACATTCTTCGTACTTTCCAAGTTAGAGGGAGATGTTATTCCTACAAATAACTTCTCAAGTATGGAACTATGAAAAGAGCTATTTTCTTTGAAGGTTCTCTGGGAAAATGAACAATTACCTGCTTTGGCTTGTATGCGCTCTCTCTCACACACGCATGCATATTTCTAGATTTTTTTAATAAAGATAATCACTTATTTTCTTCCCTAACACATACAGAAAAAGGCATCTGATTTGCAGGGAAGCTAGATTATTACATTTTCTGATGGATTTTCCAGCCAAAAATAGAACAGTTTTTAAGATTGGACTTTCTGGAAGCCCCTTTCTAAGTATTTTCTTTCTTAAAATATTTTTATCATTTTTTTTTTATATGGCTTCTGTCTGGTATGAAGAAAAAGAAAGTGCCAGCATGTGTGAGTAAAATGTTGCTTGTTCATCAAGAGGATCTTATTTCAAGGCTTGGCTGTTTTCCAAAGGATTTAATTGTGTGATTTCTTAAATAATCCGTGATATATGAGCATCATACCTATCACCTCATCATTCTTTTTTTGGCTCGCTCAGAGCTCCATGCGGCACGCAGCGCTAGGGGTATTGAGCAAGGCCAACAGCAGGAGCCCTCAGGACGTATTTTGAGAATTCCATCGTTGTTACTCATTTTCTTTCATCATGACAGTATTGGCAAGGAAGTGGGGTTCCATGGTTCATGGTGCAGCGAGGCATTTTTACTTGATCACCACGGTGTTCTTTTGTTGTTAGGACCAAAATGAGCGCAGCTACCGCATTGTGAAGACAGCCTCCAGGAATACTGACATCAAAGGCTTGAACCCCCTGACTTCATATGTATTTCACGTGCGGGCCAGGACAGCAGCAGGATATGGAGACTTCAGTGGACCGTTTGAGTTCACAACTAACACAGGTAATGCCATGCCCACTGATTTCTTTTTCTTTTCCTTGAGCAAAGAGTGCAAATGTAACTGAACCGTGTGCTGGAATTCTCCCCTTAGTTTCTTGGACTGTAGTGTGTCTGTTCTGGGAAAATGTTCTTCCATGGCGCATGACTGTAAGTGATGCTGTGAATCTGACCCAAGACATCTATTTGGATGCTCTGTGTTCTAGATTCTAGCAATGACAATACTTCAGTGTGGCATAAGGAGACATGCACCCTATAAACACTTGGAAGCCATTGATGCTTGAGAGATTTATGTATCTATCTTGTTTACTGCAAATGCAGATGTTTGCACGTGTTTTTGGAATGTCTCATTTGCAGGAAAATAGAGCCCTGTTATTTCCCTTTGCATGCTATTGACCTGGGTCAGTTAGTGTCCTACATCAGCTCACCTATTTGCACTTTTCCTTAGACAGTCATGTAAAGACAGAATGTTCAAATTATGTTGTCAGTAGAGCTTTTCACTTTTCTCAAGGAAACATGCAGATTTAGCCCCCAAAATGCTTGCTTTTCAATGGCAGGCAGGCAATGGGACGAAGCCTATTTTATTTTGGGCATACATGTCTGCTTAAATCAATCTAAGGTCGTGCCAGTTAGTGGCAACATCGTTCAGGATGTTAACAGCTGGAAGAGGGCAGACATTTTAAAATAACTTATTCTCTTTGTGTCATTTGGGGAGTGATCATCTAGCCCCACTGAGAGAAAAAGGCGGAGGAAAGAAAAGTGGAAAGCAATTAGAAAGGAAAAAAAATAGCTGTTATACCCTCTGAGCAACACTGGAGGGGAGAAGGAGAGGGAGTCCTTGTTCCCAGTGAACTGAAGTTCCCCAAATCATTATCAAACATCATGTCTTCAGCTAATTAGGGCCCTGTTGGAAAATTGTGTCAAATGACTATATAATAAAGGCTTGAAAGTAGATTTGAGTGCTACTCCAAACTGCCTTCACAAACCAGAAAGCCTTATTGAGTGCTACCTAGGTTGATTTTTTGAGAGTGTCTGACACTAATGCTCCCTTTTCTGTTTCCAGTTCCTTCCCCCATCATTGGCGATGGTACCAATCCCACAGTGCTTCTTGTTTCGGTGGCTGGCAGTGTTGTTCTTGTGGTCATTCTCATTGCAGCCTTTGTCATCAGCAGGAGGTAAGAACTTAAGCTTCTCTCTTCCCCCTCTCTCTTTCATGAGGGAGCTTTTTGTCTCCTCCAAACAAAGCTAAATTCTTTGATTAGCATCATAAACAGTGCATTTGCATTACAAGCCTTCTCCCATGTAGCTTTGATCTTCTCAACATTAGTACCAAGCAGCATGTGATGTAATGGCAATAGTTCCAGCTCTATTTGCCCTTCAAATGCAAAGCTGATTCCAATAACTGGCATTGAGAAGCAAGCCAGCTAGAGATTTGTGGTTAGTGTAATTTGAAGTTAAGTTTAATGGGTATGGGTACAGTGGATTTTCTTGGACTGACTCCTGATAGACAGGGCATAAACAACTGCACTGTTGTGAACTAAGCCATCAGACTGCTACGCTTGTGATTTTTGTGTTAGTCTGTATAAGTCTGCATTAGTCTTTTGGGGTTAGTCCTTCCAGTGTGAGTGGATATGGCTGTAAAACAGAAGCCACAGTCATTCAGCATCATATGCAGTAACACAACAGACTGGATCAATGGTTATTTCATCAGAGCAGGACCATAATCTTCTACCAAGTACTCGTTCATTCTCCCATATTCAAACCAAGCATCAGGAGCAATCCTGTGAACAGGAGGACAGTGTAGCAGAAACACAGCGTGAGTGTTTCTGTCTTCATCTTTGTATTCAGTCTCATTTGAAAAGATCAACACGATTTTGCTTCGGTGTAATTCTGAGATAAAACTGGACGTATCATTACTGCATCTGAAGCCATGGGATCTGAAGGATGCATCCATCTCTGTTGATCAGTTTAATGGCATCAGCCATAAATGTGCACAAATTCCTCCCGATTTGCTCTCTTACTTTAAATGGTCTTAAAGAGCAGTTAAGACACTGTGACTGTAATATCTGGAAAGTAGACATGCATTGTTACAGCTTTCAGTGGGTGTTCAACTCAAAGCCTCCATGCTGGCAAGAAGAAAGAAGAGCAGAACATATGAAAATGTAATGCGGAGAGACAGGTTTATTAAAAGCCATTGCAAACAGAAAATAGCATCACTGAGCTTGATGACTTAATCTCCTCTCCGCTTTTATTGATCACTTTATTATTTAAGGCAGGATTGATAGCAGGATACATTGGATTTCTAATTATGAGTCGCCACCTTGGAGAATTGAGCCTGTCGAGCTGCTTTGCGATGATTCCTTCCCCTCCTCCCCCTATAAAAAAAATGTCGCTTCCCAAGGCTGATAAACACTGCTTGGTGATTGGCCCTCAATGGATCACTTTTTAGAAAATGAAATGTCAACCCCTTGCCCTCATATTGATTCTCTTTAGTATTGGCCATAAAGCTGTCAAAGGAAAGGCTGCCTGGAGCCAGGTAGCTGACAGAGTCGCTGATGCGGGTGCGCACTCGCACTCGGCCAGGTCTTCTCACCCCTCTCACTGCTCAGGCGGTGCCTTCAGTTATCTCTGCCCACCAGTGTTCAACTTGGACAAAGACAGGACAAAGAGCAGGTGGGCAGGAGGGACAAAAGGCTGACCCAGGTGCTGGTGGGAGTGGAGCTAAAAGTATCCTGGTGGCCATGGGTTCAGAGATGTCCCGTAGCTCTGCACTGGTAGGTCTCAGAGAGGCCGTGGAAGGGGAAAGACATCGCAAGATGAATGAAATACTAGGACAGCGAAACTGCTCTGTGCGTACTAATGCATGATGCCTTGCTAATTAATAGCCTTCCTCAATACACAGCTCTCCCATAGCTGGAAGTAGCTCTCAATAAACAAAATCCACTTTAATATTCAATATTGCTCTAACAATTTTAACCACTTTACCAATGTCATTTAGAGGTGTGGGCTTTGGGGATATTTCATCATGTTCCTACACCAGCAGAAGTTAATAGCAAAATAATTATACTTTGTTCCAAAATGACTTCAGATGAGAAAAAGCTTTTCTGTCCATGCAGTTCCCATGAGGAGGTTTTGTAATCTAGCCATGACCTAAAAGTTGTATTCGTACAATCAGCCCCATGCTTTGGCCTGCAGACATGGCCTCTCTGCATCCCTGAGCCAAATGTGGGAACTGGGCGTATGCTCTAGGTGCCTACTTTTGAACCCTGGGTTAATACTACTAATTTAGCACTATATTTTTTAAGTCATCGCTCAAATCCCAAAATTCATCTTTACAACAGAATTTGTCAAAGGACTTTGCGTTCAGGTGGCTCAAGCTGTTTGGTTCTGTCCTGCAACCGCAGCGTTTGTGTTAACGTGAGAACTAATCTACCTAAATGTTAGTTTATACTTACTGAGGTTAAGATAAGCATATGCGTAGAGCCGAGTGCAGGAGGTAGGTGAGTGTTCCTAAATCCTGCCCTGCAGGAACACTGTACATATTAGAGCATCTCAAATAGAGTCGTTAAGGATTTGGGAAAGAGCAAAACGGAAAGAGCCTGGGTGGGGTAAGATGACCTACAGAATCCTCTGGTCGTCTAAAAGTTTACATTGGAAATTCTTCCAGTGGACAGACTGCTTTAGCTTCTGCTCAGTGAGCAGCTGAACGCCTTTGCCCACCTTCTGCTGCTGGTGCTGGCTCACCCCCAGCCCCTCTCTTGTTTGGAGAGGAGGGGTGGGAGCCATGGTGGGACACGGGGTCCCTGCTGTTTCGCCTCAGTGCGTGCTAATACCCTCCGTTGTTACCTCCTCTTCATCGCCAGCTCCCACCTGTGGATGTGCCTGTGTCTCTGACCCCGCAGCTTCTGAAAGCTTCTGTGTTCTTTTCCTGAAAGCCGGCTATTTAATCACCCCCTCCAAAGTCCTGGTAATTGCGGGGTTCAGATCCGCGACAAAGGCTTCCTTCTGCTGCTCAGGTGAGCTGTCCCGAGCGGCAGCTCCGGCCCCGCGTGCCCCGTGGTGCCCCGTGGTGCCCCGTGGTGCCGCCCTCCCCGTCTGCTGGCGGGGACAATGGCAGGCGGCAGTGTCCTGCCCCCAGCCAAGCAGTAGAGGTCAACAGGTGACACAGGGAGAAGTGGAAGTAGGTAGTTAGTTTGGAAGGTATTATTTAAAGTTAATGAGCTACAATTGTATTGCTTGAACAGTAATCCCTTTGTTTCCCTTTGCTTTTTGCATGTCTTTGGGTTTTAGGGGGAAGATTATTTTTTTCATCCATTGTTAGGGTGCTTGTACTGTTTAAAAATAAAATAAAGAACATTTTTTTCATACTTAAAATGCTTTCGTGCAAAGCCTGTTCGTGTTTTATATTTCCCATCTGTGCCTGAACATTAATAAAATGAACTTGAAGGGGTCCTGCTTAAAATGCATAATCTTTTTTTTCCCCTTCCTTTTGTTCTTTCCTCTGAGAGAAGTTGTATAATACCTGAAACCATCTCTGCAGTCCCCGTAGCTGACCTGGTCCTGTATGGCAGTGGGTGAGATTTATTTGTGCAGCCTCTTCCTTCTTAGTCAGTTCAGTAACAGAGAGCAGAACATAGTCCTTTTATTTAACTCGGCTCTGTTACACCAGTGCTGTAAGTCCTCAGGCAAATAAATGATGTTTGGATCCAGTGTGGTTTTTAATAACGCTCTTCTTGTGATTTGGAGCCATTTGCGTTTCATTGACTTTCATCAAGAAAAGAAGCTCCCAACTGTTTATGGTTGGACGTGTACCTGCTTTTTATGTCTGAACACAAGTCCTGTTGCTGTTGTTGGGAGCTGTGAGGCTTGGTTCAAAGATCAGGTAGTCTTCACACGTCAAACAGGATTTTTTTTTCCTTCTGATTCATGGTTAATTTATAGTTTTTATTATTGTTTAACACGTAGCACTAAAAGACTGCAAAGACAAAGGCTGGGAAGTGGCCTTTCAGCTGACAGCGCTGGGAAGCTGCCATTCCCCACAGGCCAGGCACAGAGTTGGAAGTGAGATGCTTTTTGCTAATGGGCAGAAGGGTTTTGCTGACGGGAGAAGAATGGTGAGACTCAGGAAGATTTGCTGCAAGCAGGGCTCTCAGTCACCTCTTTTCTTCCTGTTATCTGCAAGTTTTTGACCCCTTTTAACTCACATCTCCCGATAGGTCTTTCCTATCGGGAAAACTCTCATTTTCCTTCTCTACCCATTCACCGTTTTCAGATTTTTAACCCAGCCTGTTTTCAGATTTTTAACCCAGCCTCACTCCAGTGTCCCTGTCAGGCCAGGTCCTCTCCTGCCCTGCTCCAGGCAGTGGGTTGCACATAGCAGGCAGTGCCAGTCCTGCCTCCTGTTCTCATGGCTTGGTATCTTCTTCGGCTTTCCCTCTTCTTCACACCAGCCCAGACTCTTGCCAATTGGCTAACCTGAGTCTGACACGCTGGGAGACTTGGCCTTCCATAGCAATAGGTGAACTGAGGAGTAAGCAACAATAAGCCCTTCTCTTTGGCAATGTCTGTTCTTATGCCTGGTTCTGAACTTTCAGTGAATGATGGGTAAAAGCCTAAATCAAATCTCTACATCTGCATCCCATTAGATGCTGGGGAACTTCAAATCCCAGTACACATTTGGCTGAGCTGACTCCTCAATATCTTCCCTAACAGACTAACCTCTTGTATTAACTTTTCTTAATGCCACTTATTCATTGAAGTTTAAAGCTGAACTAATTAAACACATAACAGGATACAATATCACATGTGTAGGTGTAGAAGTAGTAATCTATAGAATTAACATTATTGTCTTCATACATTATTGTCTTCAACTCAGAGGATAAGTAAAGGAGCTCTGCCATCAGGAGTTCTTTGCCCCCTTCAGTTATACAGTGAATGAAAGAATAAACACAATCCTTGGGATCTGCATTTTTGGTGGTCAGGGATTTTTTTTGCTGCCGTTCTGATTTCTATGTTACTGGACTGTTTCCCGTTTAAAATTTACAGTTAAATAAGTGAGTTGGTATTGGCATTTGCCTAATTGTGTTTGAAAATCAATCTATCAAAACACTTCTGTTGTAGCAGTTAAATCCATGCATGACAGGGCTAAAAAGCAATTTGGCCCTTTTTTGCACAGAATTGCAAATATACATTTGAAGAAAAAGTAGCCGAACCACAAGCTTTCTTTTCTTTCTTTAAATGCTGAGATGCAAACACAGAGATTTGTGTTACCCTTGATGCTTTGTTGATGCCAGTAACACTTAGAGCAGTATGAGGAGAGGAGTCTCCTACCCTGCTGGTAAGTGTATGTTGTGTCATGGGCTGTTGCAGGGGAGCTGCCGAGCACAGGTCGTGGCAGGTGCAAATAGCTCAAGTCTCAGCAGGTCAAGAAGACTGAGCTTGTCTCAAAGTCAGATACTTATTTTGAACTGTAATGCTCTTTTTTTTTGTTGTTCTGACAGGCGCAGTAAGTACAGTAAGGCTAAGCAAGAGGCAGATGAGGAGAAACATTTGAACCAAGGTAAAAGGCAGTGGTGCTTAGGTTTTTTGATTCGGTTCATAAAACATGTTCCATATTCTGATGCTTGGGAAATAAGAGATGACATTCCTCTTGAGATGAATATGTTTCTGTTTTCTTCTCTTGCAAACATCCTTCTTCAAAACTATGCACTTTAGTAACAGGCAAAATAGAAGTGTCTGGGTAAAAATTTTTGAGGAGACAGACAGGAGAAAGGTTCATCAAATTTTTCCATTGTTTCATTCCACTGAAAGACATCCGTTCTTGGCCAGTGATATCTAGGCGTGGCTTTTCCCCGCAATACTCTGCTAAGGCAGTTTCTGGATAGGCCAGAGGCAATCCTGCAGGAAAGGGAACGTGAACTTCGCTGCCTTTTTTCCAGGACTGAATCCTGCCATTACTTGCATCTCAGTCATCCAGGTACCAAACCTAGGACCTGAGCTCAGAATTTCTTGGCTGCCAAAAGGGAAGTGTGATTGGTGTGTTTTAGTCTCACAGGTCCATAGACAGGTTATTGGCCTGTTAGTGATGGCAGTGATTTGTGAAGCCCATTTATTGGCAAAAGCCTGATTCCTTACATCAATATTGGGAAATATTAAATGTTTACATTAAAAAAAAAAAACCACATTGGGGAAAAATACATTAAGTCCTTCCTCCTTCATCAGTCATTCCTGGCTTACAGTACATTTTTATTGTGCACTCTCTTTGCTGTTGTATATCATTAAGGCTTCAGTCTCATATGTTCTGTGTTCAGCAGCATGTAGATCAGTGACTTCAAATAAAACATTTCTGCCTTGCAGGTGTTAGAACATATGTGGATCCCTTTACATATGAAGATCCAAACCAAGCTGTGAGGGAATTTGCCAAAGAAATTGATGCCTCCTGCATAAAGATTGAAAAAGTTATTGGTGTGGGTAAGTGCCAGAACTTTTGCATTTTTTTTCCTGGAAATGCAGTTTTAAATTTGCTTTTAGGAAACATGGGACTCTATGATTTTTGTATGACAGTTCCCCAAACGAACTGCCATAACAGTTTGACAACACAAGCATGTGCTTCGTGTTCATGACCATGGATTCTTATGTCTTTTTCCTTAAGGAGAATTTGGTGAAGTATGCAGTGGACGTCTCAAAGTACCAGGAAAAAGAGAGATCTGTGTTGCTATCAAGACTCTAAAAGCTGGTTACACTGATAAACAGAGGAGAGACTTCCTGAGTGAGGCCAGCATCATGGGACAATTTGACCACCCCAATATCATCCACTTGGAAGGTGTAGTTACTAAATGTAAGTAGGTCATTTTCATGACAAGGCCAATTTGGAAGTCACTGAGAAATTAAGTCTGTGGTGGTGTGCGCTGGGTTTTTTTTTCTTTTTACCCTTTTTCCTGTGAAATGACAGATGGAACAGATCCACCGATAGCTAATAGGAGGAAATCAGTGCAAGACAAGTCATTAATCTTGTTGTCAGCTATAAATGGGTTTATGGTTTCAACTGATACTCTATCTGTAGGCAGCTTGTACAAGATTTTGTAGGGAGAATTAATACTGCAGGGTTGGTGCTTTTTTTCTCCTCTTGCTATGTCAAGCAGGCATCTTTCACATCTTTGCTAGGCTGAGCTGATTGTTACAGATAGGCAAAAGCAGATGGTGAGCAAAGAATTTAAAATGGTTGGGAGAAAAATACCAAAACAAAACTACAGAATCATATGTTTAAGGTACAAAGCACAGATGTAAGGAACAAGCCTTTGAAATGAAGTAGGCTATTTTAGTGTGAAACTTGCTTATTTGTTTTCTCTGATTTACAGGTGCGATAATTTCACTCTGCAGAATTTACCTGGCTGATGTTTTTGTTTGGTTGGTTTGTTTGTTTTTTAAATCTCTTAGCATTCACTGTGCCATGAACCCTGCCTTAGAAAGAGAATGGCAGTGCTTGCTGGATGCTGTTTGTAGGCTAGAACTGAAAATACACCTGTGAGACAGGTGTGCTTGGGTCTGAGTTGATGAGGTGCTGCGATGGTGTAGTTATTGTCCCTGTTCCGACTGCCCTAGGTAGCATGTTGGCAAAGCCTGGCACTGAGCACTAGTCCCAAAAGACCCTTTGGGTGTAGGGGCTCATGCTCATGATGACGAAGAAAGCAGACAGTGATCTTGAGAGCTGCTGTTAAAACTGGAATTTGTGAAGCTTACCTTCTGCAGCTGATGGTGTGCATGATGAACATGAACGCAGGGTATTAATAGTGTAAGGAATTAAAATTAGATATGGCGAGAAGTTAAAAAGTCAAATATTACCAGAAGAACAAAGTATCTCTCATAGAGGATTGTCAAAGCCATCAGTACTGCTGAAAAACCCTGTCCTTCTTCAATGTCGGTGGGAGCTGGATGCTTACTCTACCACTTGTGTTTCTGGAAATCTTACCCTTAGTCGTTAGTGTTTCCCTCTCCTAGTCTGCTTTCATTAACAGTTGTTGAAAATGGCTCATACAGCATGTCACTGTTTGCTTTTCAAGACAAATTCTGCTATGGAAAATTAGGGGTTTGGACTAATTTTGCCCATCGTATACTGAGGGCCTCTCTCAAAACTGAAATGAAAAGATAATACTGTTTAAATTTTGCAGGTTTGATTCTCTCTTTCTCTTTTTGTTGCTGTTCTAATGAAGCAGGGGGGATTTGTGGTCAGGCCACAGTGTTTGCCACAGACAGGGATTTTTCTAGCACCTCTGTAAAAGAAAGGCAACGGGAATCTTTGTGTTGAAATCCCACCGAGGCTTGAAACCCCTGAGCTATTACAGCTGTAGCAGTTATAAATGACTGTATGTATTTGCATAATGCAGTTGTCACTGAATTAAAATGATTTGGAATTTTCACCAAGGCGGTGGTAGCCTGACCTGAGAACGTTTCATTGCCTGGCTCGCAGTAAGCCGTGCTTCCACAGCAAGCCAGCTTGGTTACCTCAGAGCTGGTGTGTTTGGTAAACAGGGCTACTTAAGGAGACATTTATCTCAATTTCTCCATAGGTTTTCTGAATGCTGTGATAGATGAATGCATTTAATAAACTGAAAATGAAAATGTGAGTTAAATATTGGTGTAGATAGGAGTTGAGAGAGGCAGCAAAAAACCATGAATATATTATTGGCTGCTAGTCAAGTACTTTCATAATTGACTCCCTGATGGTAACTTCTCTCTCTGTCCCCCTCCCCTGCTAAAGAAGTGCCTGAGTAATGAAATTACATGTTAATGCACTCAAAGAGTCTCCCTTTCTTCTCTTCTACGTTGACATAGTATCTTTTGATTGAGGAAGGTTAATTAAAACTCATTTAGCTGTATTTGCTCAGTGGAAGGGTTTCGGTCACAGTTGCAAAGGATAAATGAAACAGTGATATATGCATATTTGGTAGGAGTTTTTTCTCTTTCTACCAAAGAATGCTTGCAGAAGTGAATTAGAGGGAGAATGATGTTTTGTCACATCTCTTTCCGTAAGGTTGCAACTGCTCAGCCAAGGTCACTAAGTCCTTCATCCATAGCAGTTTGCTTTATGCAATACCATTGCTTCTCTGCTGCGTTCATGCAAATCAGAAAGGGTTCAGCTGCCAGACTGACATTTCATGGGCATGTCAGTTTGCATGAGACCAAAACAGTAAGAGTTTTGATATCAGTTGGGAAGGAGAAGCAGGAATAGTAAAAGGCCTGCAAAGGAGAGGTTGGGACTGAAAAGGTGAAATAAGTGATGTGTCGCACATATACGTTGGCCTAAGTGAAATGATGTAAAATTTTCAGTACAGTCAGTCCTTACAGCAGCATATTGTTTTCTAATAAAAAAAAAGGTTACTTCAAAAACAGAAATCCCCGACGAATGAAGAGAAAAGCATCTTGGTGAAAAACGCACTGAGGTAGAAACGACTAGGGGAACTTTCAATGCTGCAGCCCTTCATGGTAGGGTAATTTTCATAGATGCTTGTTCTGGAGCAGATACTTGCTGGTGACAGAAGCAAGGAAAAATTGAGTAGTTCTGATGCCAAGACAGAATTGAGCTACCTACAGTCTAGGTGACATGTCCATTGAACCCTTCTTTCTCCGTAATGTTCTCTTATTCAGAGCTGCTCCAGGAAATACAAAAACAGTTTCTCCAGGACACTGTCTTTTATTTAGGAAGAAACTATAGTTCCTGTAGCTAAAGCATAACTGGGAGGAAGGATTGGCATACCAGCCTAGTGCTGATCATCAGGTACTCCCTTGACTTCAGGTGGGCTTAACAGTGCTTATCTTGGGACCAGGCTTTTGCCGTTTGGCCTTTGATAAGTCGCTTCTCTGCATCTCCCATTGCTCACATTTAGAATGGAGATGATACTGGACCTATTTCTGCAAATATCTAGATGCTGAATATCCAGCATGATTTAACCCCGTGAAATAATCAGTGTTACTTTAATGTACCTAAATGTTTTCAGTTTCAGTCTCATATGACTTTGTAAAGCTCTTAAAGACGACATCAAGCATTATTTATGTATTTGCTGTTGTTTTAGGCAGGAGAGTGCCTGGAAAGCATCCCCATGTCACTAACATTACATTACGTTCCTCTTCAGATTGCCCAGCTTGCCTCTCTGTATTGCAGCATGGAAGGCTGAGTGCTGCTGAAGCACTATGCCCCACATGTGACACGATTCATTGAATCATTTATCCTGTGGTTGACTTCACAAGGCAAATGGCTTTGGCTCATTTATAAATAACGAGAGACATGGGATACAAATTCGGGACAGAGAAAGTTGGAGGATCAGCTTGTATTTTGCATTCTAGAATCCTGTTGTCTTGGAATACCTTGTAGCTGCTGACAACTTCTAACTTGCCTAAAGCATTGATCTTTCGACTTTTCGAAAGAGGCAGAGAGACCAAAGCATTCACAGATTCCATTTTGAAAGAGGAAGGCTTTCTAGTCTGCCAGCAGTTTAATTACACTGAAGATTTTTGTCAAGTTTGAACAGATCTTTGTTTCTTAGCTCTCAATTATCAATTCATATATTTCTTAGAGAACAGGAACCTCTTTAGTTAAAGACCTTGTCCGTGAGTCAACCAAAGGGTTAACCTTCCAGATGGGATCCTTTCAATGTTTCTGTCCTATAATATTTCTTCTCTTGCTCCCCACAGCTGAGGCATAAGCTTGGTGCTTTTCAAATTAAATTAGATTGTGTAAGCCAGGTGTCTTGGCAGTAAAATCATGTGCAACCCATTTTTATCCCATTAACATCGGTGTTCATCAAGGAATTGTGTTTTTCTTTCTGTGAACTCCAGGTAAACCGGTAATGATCATAACTGAGTACATGGAGAACGGCTCCTTGGATGCCTTCCTCAGGGTAGGTAATTTTTTCATAGTAAGCTAAGGAGATTTTATACTGGGCAACATTTTCTGGTTTTCATTCTGGTTCTTTTTTTGCAGAAAGATACTGAAAATTCAGCATTTTTTAAGAAATCATGTTTGTACTTGGGAAATTCTGTTTTCTGGTGTTGCTCCTATTGAAAACCAGAATAAATGGGAAGTGCAAGAGTGTAGAATAAATGTAATGTTTAAAATAGCAGGGTCTTAAATAATCCATGTTTAATGGGAACAGTTCCGATTTGCTCCATTTTTGAAAGCATCGCAATGCTGTAGACTCATTAAAGCCAGATTCATTGCAAACTGGATACTGCATCACTGGAAGCTGTGACAGAACCTCTGGGTTTTTACTTTACTGGTGAATTATAGACACTAGTCAGGAGAGTGAAGAAATAACATTGCATTTTATCTGAGAGAAGATGGGGATCCAGAGAAATGCTCTTTGCCAATTTCAGCAGTGGCAATAATGTAGCTTTTAGCTTAATGCTCTGTGATTTTCTTCCTTTCCCTATATGCAGAAGAATGATGGCAGATTTACAGTCATCCAGTTGGTGGGGATGCTTCGTGGCATTGGCTCAGGAATGAAGTATCTGTCTGACATGAGCTATGTGCATCGGGATCTAGCTGCTCGAAACATACTAGTCAACAGCAACTTGGTCTGCAAAGTGTCTGACTTTGGCATGTCCCGAGTCCTGGAGGATGACCCCGAAGCAGCTTATACCACACGGGTAAGGAGGGAAAGAAAATGTCCAATGAATTTTCTTGCCTACATACGGGTTTTGTCTGACCGTGTCGGAGGTGACAATGGTTTGTTTTACAAAAATCTCAGTCATAAAAAAAACCCTATATCACAACCTAAAAATAAACATTGGCCCAGACTCCATAGCTAGTATAAATTGATGTGGTGTTATTGCTACATCGGTGGCTACATCAGTATTCCTCTGGTTCCTTCAGTGTGCTAGAGTGCATGACAGGAATCTGATGCCAAAAATTAGAGCTTGGGCTTCTATTCCTTCTGATATCTACAGACATGGGTAATTATTTGCAAGTGGCTAGTCCTGCTGAGGTTTGATTCAGCAAGTGTGGATATGCCACCAAAAAACCCCCAAACATAAATCCACTTTTGCCTATCACAAAGCTAGCCATGAATTTGACCTAAATAATTTGGACTGGGAAAAGGGCCTGCATTCCCATTTTTTGTTTCTTTCCCATTTTATCTATATTTCAGCATCCCAGTGTTAACTAATTTTGTTAAAGCCGTTTTAATGTAATACATGTGGAATAGTACTAATGGAAGTATTTCTGGCCACAAAACAACATCCTGACCATTACCAGCCTTTGTACCAATACCACTGTAATTAACATGCGCACAAAGAAAAAAAAAGTCAGTTTATAAAGTCTCATTTTTTAATTGCTTATTTTCTTCTTTTTTAAATGTCTGCCATTCTCCATCTGTTCTCCCTAGTGCAGAGTTTGTTTGCAGCACTCAGATTTTGCAGTTTAATCCCAACACTCATACTTTAATGGATTCACAGTTCATTACAGGGAAGGATAGACACATGTAGTATTAAATACTGGCCAGCCTTGATATTTCTCACTCATAAGGGTGGCAAGTGGAAGAAGCAGAAGGAGAGGTCTGAAAAACTGTATTCAAGGAAATCAAAGATTAGACAAACACAAGCGAGACAGAAGTGACTGAAAAGCTTCCCTTTGAATTTAGGGAGTGGAGATACAGTACTATGTTTGCTCTCAAGAGTAAACTGCAGGGAATCAATGACGTGCATTACAGGGCATTGTCTTCATTTGGTATCAGTAATGAAGGATCAGGAAAATTTGGATGAACTCCACCGTACTCAAGCAGCTAAAAAAAAAGAGCTTATTGACAATTTTTAGAATGACAACCATGTATAAACAATGTCCACGCATCTGTGTCTGAAAGGAGAAACAGAGCTTTTTTCAGAACCAGAGATGATGCAATAAAATGCAATTTTCAAAGCATCCTTTTTTAAGAGAATGGTGCGTTTTTCTCCCCGTTAATAATATAACTTATTAAAGTGAAAGCATCCTATAGCCACACGAGGCTACAACCTGATTTGCAAAGGCCGAGGAAGCCTGGAGAAGGACCCCTTTTGAATTCACTCGGCTTTGGAACAAGTCCATATTAAACACTTGAGAGAGAGATTAGAACAATAAACCATTAAGTACGCACATGCTGCACTCAGTTATGGATAAAAACTATCTAGAAGATTGCTGAGAAAAAAACCTACCAAAATAAACTTAATCAAAAAAGCATAAAAGCAAATGAAAAAAACTTAAAGCCTTTGTTCAGCTTAAGTCGTTTCCCAGATGGAACTGCAGGAAACCAAAAGCTCAATTAAAAACACCTTGCATATTAGCATAAACAAAAGGAGAAATCTCTGGCCTGGGATCACTCAGCTAGGGCAAAATCAGATAAACTGGATGGAGTGAGTTCCTTTTAAAACAGCGCAGGACCTCGGTGGCCCAAATCACTTGTCGAAGTGTTTTTATTTGCTTAAAAAGAGAGTCCTGTAACAAGAGGCAGCCCTCTCCAACAGGTGTCAAAAGCAGTCTTGTACCATGGTCTGGTGTTGAACTCCTCCCACAGGGACTGGGAGAGCCCAAAGGCTTGCTTGCCGTCTCACATCTCTAGTAGGAGTTGGGATATCGCCCATGGAAAACACCACAGTCTTCATAAATCTTCCCAGTTTATCCTGTCTTTATTTTACCTTTTTGAAAAGCAAAACGTTTATAATCCCATTTTTCTGAAACAGGCCAAACAGGTCATACAGGCGAGCAAGGAAATAGTAATTAACAGTGTGTACTTATTTGTTTTGTCAACTAAATCTCTAATATATACTTGGTAAAAGCCCTGGCTTGTTCTCATGCTTCAACATAGCCCTAAGCAGAGATCTCTTAGAGGGCTGATAAAAATACATTTAACAATTTACTGGTTCGCCTCCTTGTGACTAAAGAAAACAGATGGGCAGCATTTCCTCCTGGTTGGATCTGACAGTTTTATGGCAAGAAAGAGAGAAAGTGGATGCCTTTTAAAGAAGGATTCTGGAGTTGTGTACAGAAAAACATTTCGTATTTTTAATGGCAGTGTAGAACAGTGTCAGCCACGCACATTACTGGGTCAGTGACTCACTTAGCCTGTGGTTTCTTTTGTTTGTGACAGGGTGGCAAGATCCCCATCAGGTGGACTGCACCAGAGGCAATTGCCTACCGTAAATTTACATCAGCTAGTGATGTGTGGAGCTATGGCATCGTCATGTGGGAAGTTATGTCCTATGGAGAAAGACCTTACTGGGATATGTCCAATCAAGATGTGAGTTGTCTTCTGAGCTTCCTCTTCCTTTTTACTCCCTTTCCCTCATGCCTTCATCTTCATCCTTAGATGTCTGCATCTGCTGATGTGTTTCTGTGCCAATTGCTATATGATTATAAGACATTTACTCCAGGTTTTCAAAAGGATATCATGGATGGTGGGTTCCTGTTTTCTCAGGGAATGTCTCTGGAACTAAGGCTTCCTTGAATATTTCAAGCTGATCTATCGTCAGGAAATAAGGGATTCTCAAGTTAGGGTCTATAACTTGTGCATTTATCTTTTTTCTTTTCTTTCTTTTTTTTTATTTTTAATTTTAGGAAAAAATTATAAGCAATTAAGAAAGAAGAATGGAGGAGAGAGAAGCGAATATATTTAAACTATCAGATTGTAATACTGTCGAGAGAGGGAAGGTTTGAATGTTGATATTAAATCTCAACTTCATTGAAAGTCTTTAAGAAAAAACACTTGAATTTAATGGAGCTTCCTATTAGTAGTTAATTCTTTAAGCCCCAGTATGCTTGTAATTCTTCCAGATGATTTTATTTCTTGTAAGATATCTAAAACAACACATATGAAATCCAATTCTGATTATCAGTCAGAGCATCCTTGCGACAATTGCATAGCTGCCCCCCGAGGACATTAAAAAGCAGCTTTCCTAAATGACCATTCTTAAATTATGCATGTCCTGTTTAACTGTACCATCTGGGCTACTTCATTGTATTCCAAGAGGGAGCATGCACAATGGCTGCTATTCCAGAAGAGTATTTAATAATAATGCTAATAAGAGCTTTTGCTAATAGAATTTTTATTAAATGAAAAAAAAAAAGCCCAGTGAAAATGAGACATAGATTATCCATAATTCTTTTCCCAGGGGATTTACAAACATATAAAGAAGAAGAAAATGTTAATCTGAATATATGGTCATGGGAGTGGTTAAGTCATTTTACAAGTCATCTGCTTTCTTATGTAGAGCTGAACATTTTCAAAGAGTGTCTAGATGCGGATGGCATTTAATCTAAACAGGGGATATAATTTTAATTTCCTTCTGATGTGAAATGTCTCTTCTGGCACCCAATCTTGCCTTCCTTTGCTAACAGGAAGTCATCAAGACTTAGCAAGAAAATAAAACACCAGATGTGCCTCAGTTATCTCAGGCATGTCTACACTGCACAGTGGAGCTCAATGCAACAAACGCAGAGCTCACATATTAGGCTGGTACACACTGCAGACATGCAGTGCTAGACCACGTCAAAAAGCTGGCTTGGACAGGACAGCTACAGCCAATATTGCCGTCTCTGCGTCCTCTTTTTAGTGCATGGCGTAGACATACCATTTTTTCTCCTTAGCGATGGTGAGAGCGGTGCTTTTCACAACAAAGCAGAAGTGGATTTCAAGTTATTCTCAGTGTCTTGTTGAATCGAGAGAAATCAAAAGGATCTTCATACTTTCTGGAGTAGTGAGAGCCACTTTGTTTGTAGTCACTGAGTAGCGGCTAGTAGTGCAAGCATATCCCTTGCCCTGTCCTCCCAGTGGTTTTTAGCCACTAATTGGACAAGACCAGAAGGAGGGAATTTAGTGCAATTCAATCTCGGTGCACTCCTGGTCCCTGGTCTCATGGTGAATCCTGCCTGCAAAGTCCTGTCAATTAATTAAGATCTGAAGACTTCTGGGTCATGTCCCTGTCATATCAGAATCGAGTCCTGGTCCCATCCCATTCTCCTGAGATTGCTAAGCAGCTCTGGAACCCTTTTTGGAGGGTTTGAAATGACTTCAGCTTGTGAGTTTTTCTGGTTTCTATTAAATATGAAGTACGTACTTCAGCAGCTGTGTTGGACTTCTGTAACTTTCTTGATAAAGCTGCACAAAAGGATTCCCATCTCTGCGTATCTCAGTTCAGAGTGTACAGTGGTGAGAGAACAGGTTCTCTGCAAGGCCTGTATTTCTGACAGAGATGAGCTGGCCCGGGAGGAGAGGGTGATCTGCTGTACCCTAAAAATAGTGGGGAAAATTTCATCTTCAACATATTGCACCCAAAACTGACAGATATCAAAGATTTGCTGTAGAGCTGTCTCCAACGCTCTCTCCAACGAGCATAGCTGCTTAATTCTAACCTGAGCTATTTTGCATCCCTGTATCCCATGTGCTCTTTTGTGATATGTTGCCCTGCTGTTTCTGATGTCTGCTTTGGATGCTGTACCCTTTTAGATTTGAATTGCTGAGGAGAAATGACAGTTCTGAGATGACAAACTGCCTGAGTCTGAGTGCAATTTTCAGTGTTGTTTCACTTAATTGTGGATTTGTTTCCATACTTCGGATAGCCCTAGGATAAATGATACTCAGCTGGTAGACGTGAGTAGTGTCTGATGTTCTCTAATGTCTTCCTAATTGTGCCATTTATAGGTTATTAAAGCCATTGAAGAAGGGTATCGGCTGCCACCCCCGATGGACTGTCCCATTGCTCTCCATCAGCTGATGTTAGACTGCTGGCAGAAGGAACGCAGTGACAGGCCTAAATTTGGACAGATCGTCAACATGTTGGACAAACTCATCCGCAACCCCAACAGCTTGAAGAGGACGGGCAGCGAGAGCTCCAGGTCAGCTGTGCTTTTGTAATGGTGATGTACGAGGAAGTGCAGTGGAGATGACAGGCAAAGCTGCACGTCCCCTAAACCTCTGCGCTGGGATTGCAGTGTGCACTGTTAGCTCCGCAGAGCCAGGCTGTACAGCAGACATTGCAGCATGCCAGAGAGCAGAGGGGTCGTGCTGACACACTGCCAAGCCCTGCTGGGCACCCCAGACTCTCCTGGCTCTTGAGAAGGAAAATTGAACGAGCAGAGCTATCGCTGCATCACACCAGCACTGACCAGGTTTATAGCACAGTCTTAAACATGTCCAGAAAAAATTGTGATGCAGGCAAGCTCTGTTGGAAGACAAAGTTTGCAGCGTCTTTTCCCTCTCCCTGTTAGTGAAAGGGCTTGGAGGGATAGCCTTAACACAGCGTAGCTAACAGGAGTGATGTGGTTTTCTGCAGGAAAAATACATCATCAAGTTTTATAAACCCTAGATTTGTGTAGGATTTGCAAATGAGCATTATGGCATTGCAGCCAACGCCTTGCGGGCATCGGGAAGGTGTGGATTAATTTTTATGTGAATTTGAATTTAATTTTGTGGAAAGCCAGTTTCATGTCTCCACTGATCCTGCATTACGTTTGTGTTTTGTTTTGTTTGCTAAGCATGTTATACCTGGTACGTGCAAAAGAAGCGCAGTGGGAAGGAAACTCCCAGAGTTGTTGGGTAAAAGTAAAATAACTTTGTTGGGACAGATCAGCAGTTTGTTTAAACTGGTGAAACACTGCTGAAGTAATAAGAGCTTTACTAATTTACACCAAGTTTGTTCTCTTTTTCTCAAATGTCTTTGCTTTGTCAGGTAAATTTGCTTACAGCAAAATTGGAAAAAGCTTAAAAGAAACAAGAGGAAGATAATGGGAAAACATTTTTGAATAGAAGGGAAGGTACAAAAATATCCATTGCGCAATACAAAATTAAGTTTCTTGAATCAGTGGAGGAGTAACAGAGGTTCTGATTCAGCCTCCAACAGAGCAACATCCTGGAAAAGGCTATTTTCATTTTTAAACTTGTAGGTCCCTTTGTGACTCTTGCTTACAGTTTACATTATCAGAAGAGAGGTTATTAACCCTGTGAGGTCACTGTCCTCACGTGTCTTCCAGATTGCCCTAATTGCATTGGTAGCCTGGCAAAAACGTGTCCACCCTTCAGGCTTAAATAATTTACATGGTGAGACTCACAATATGATCTGCCGTGATAATTTGATTTGAGAATCACAGTATGAACACGTCCATTTTGCCTTCCTTCCAATTTACAGGTGCTCTTTGAAAATACATAGATTTTACAAAAGTTAATAGTCTGTCCGAGGTCATTTTGTGTGTGTGTGTGTGTATGTATATATGTTTGTGTAAATATATAGAAAACAAATGTTAATAGCCTATTCAAGGTCATTTTATGTTAATGGCTATTTACAGATCTTTATGTTCGCTTTGGAATATGAGTTTCAAATATGCATATAACATTATTAATGTATTATATGACTTTATACGTGAAGCATAATTGTATATAGTTAGGTTGCCATCATTGGTCTTGTGTTAGGTAGTACAGTAAAAGAGTTGTACCAAGCATTACTGGCACGTACTTGGTGCCTTAGGCAAAACATAACTATGCTATTGCACACCTAATCTTTGACGATGTGCATTTTCAAATAAATTGCTAAATGATAATTGTGTTGGTTAGATAGGCAGTAGTAATTTATAATGGTGTAATGAAACTGTGATTTACAATATACATGAAATAATAAAAGAGACATTAATAAAAGAAGCAATTTTAAAAAAAATAATTATTCACAAATCTGCGCAAGGGAAAATGAGAAGCACGTTCCACAATGCAAACAAAGATCAAAGCTTGCATGATTCCCACCACTCCTGGCACACGTGCTGGTCAGGAATGGATTGATTAAAGAGGGGATTAACTCCCTGCTGTCCTGAGTTTGATTGAATGCACTGAACTTGCCTGCGAACCTGGCTAGAAACAGGATTTATCTGAACCCGCCCTGAGTTTTGCCCTCCAAACCAGTCTGGCAGGTTGTGAGCTCCCCGTTCCACTGCGCATACTTCAGCAGTGTTTCTGTAGCTGCCAAGCCGAGGCCTGACGCACGCCAGGCTGGCAAGGTCTTGCCTTGCTGCCTGTGAGATACAGCCCTGCTAGGCTGAATGCCTTCCAGCACTGCCATCTTCTTTGGGTTTTGAAGTAAAAACGTTTGCTGTGAACTGGGTTGCGTCTGAGGTGGAAATTGTAAGTGGCATTGGGGTTCAAATTAGATCTGAAAGCAAAAATAGAAACTGAAAGTCACATTCATTCTTAGCAAAAATTGGCCTATTACTTTGCATTTTGTGAAGTTTCTTGCATTGACCGATGTTGCTGTGCAGAGAGCCACCGGTTTCGCTGGGCGCAGTGTCCTGCCCCTGCATTCCCTAATCATTGAGGATAATTGTTGCAGAGACCAAACTTTGGTTTGCGATTCGTGATCCAGCTGACACCGTTTCTCTGTCCTTTCGCTGTTTGGCATCCAGACCTAGCACAGCCCTGCTGGATCCCAGCTCCCCGGAGTTCTCGGCGGTTGTTTCTGTCGGTGACTGGCTAAAAGCCATTAAAATGGAGCGATACAAGGATAACTTCACAGCTGCTGGCTATACCACCCTAGAGGCCGTGGTGCATATGAACCAGGAGTAAGTACTCAGCAATATAACAAAAAAACTGGTAAATCTGGATTTAATCGGCCTCTTTTGCTTGTGCCGCATATCATTACGCTCATTAAAGGAATGGAATGCCTTTCATTTGGATGGAGGATAACTTTAGAATGCCTCCACTTATTTAATTAAACATTTCTGTACATCTGCCTTGCTTTTGCCGTGTTGCTTGCGGTTGACTCTTAGTATTTTTCTCTGCACCAGCATCTGATCCGCGGTTCTCAGCCCCTGCTTCTCCTCTTGCTTTCCACAGTGACCTGGCAAGGATCGGGATCACTGCCATCGCGCACCAGAACAAGATCCTGAGCAGCGTTCAAGCAATGCGCACCCAAATGCAACAGATGCACGGCAGGATGGTTCCCGTCTGAGCCAGTACTGAATAAACTCAAAACTCTTGAAATTAGTTTACCTCATCCATGCACTTTAATTGAAGAACTGCACTTTTTTTACTTCGTCTCCTCGCCCGTCGAAATAAAGATCTGCAGCATTGCTTGATGTACAGATTGCGGAAACCAAGTGTGTGTGTTGGGAGGGGGGCCTCCAGAAATGACAAGCCGTCATTTTAAACCAGACCTGGAACAAATTGTTTCTTGGAACATACTTCTCTGTTGATCAACGATATGTAAAATACATGTATCTATATAAATATAAAGTCACGTTCAAGTTTTGATGCTATGTTTGCTGCCAGATACTGTGCTTGAAAAACAAAAACAAAATTACTTTCCTTCTCCCTATGACCTGTAGGATTACAACCATAGTGTTTTCTTTGTGGGTGAAACCACTGTTGTGCATCTTTCACTGGAATGAAGATCTGCCCTAGGATATTTTTTGCAGACTTGATGCATCACTAATACCTTGCAGAAACCTCAGTGAGAATATCATTTGGCTAATCAGTGCCTGCCGATTAGCGATCTACCCGTTTATGGGCTTGAGACATGAAACGACCCACCTCGTGGATTACTGGGCAAAACTGGACTTCTGGGGAGATTATTGGCTGTTGTTGTGCAGTACTGAAGCCTACCACTTAAAGACGTTTTGTGAACATCTTGCCAGTAGTCAGCTGTGACAATCGTGGCTGTGGAGCTTTCAGACTTCTTTTCTCTTTCAATAAGTGATTCCCTTCACCACACAGAGAAGGTCAGTGGAAGTACAGTGTCCAACATGCTTGTGGGGCTTTGTTTCTTAAACTGTGCTAGGATTTAATCACTTGGGGGGTGGTGGTGTGAGGTAGAAAAAGTGGTGTGGCATGTATTATTTGGGGTTCCCAACTGGTTTGTATGAACCTGTGCTGGTTTCCCGGACTAATTGCTTAGTGTTTCCCATTGTTTGCTCTGTTTGATGACAGTGAAAATTGCACTGTTTGAAAATCTGATCTTGCTCTCAAGCTGATGCATGTTAGGATGTGCAGATGAGATGAAGGAGCGTGTCTTAGGGCTCACTCAGTTCAGTGCTAAGAGCTTGACCTCACTTTGCACAGAGAGCGGTAAGGATGCCCTTATTTTTTGGATGGAAAAACCCACACATATGGATCCCATAGAAAGTAAGAATAACTTTGTAAAGTACAGGTACTCATAAATGCAGCAAGAGGAACCAAGGACTCTTCCTGCCCGCTCATGAACAGAAGAACCAATATTTGCATTTTAGAAAGATCCGTCTCAGTTGCTGCATCACTGGTTTTATGAAAGGGGGAGCAAAAGGAAATGGGATTGTGCATGCTGCCTTCCTGGTTTTGCACAGTTCGGGTGTCAGGCATGGTAATGGCTCTGTGTTGTGCAGCAGTGTGACACTTCAGGCTCGGTGATCCAGCCTCATCAGCTGTGGGAACCAAATTCCCTTTTGAAACCAGCCCCATAGGCTGGATTATCAAGGGAACTGTGGGTGTGAGTGCCAGGTGTAGGCTGCATGGCCAAGGTCTAAGCGCCCCTCTGCACGTATGGCAAAAAAGATGGAGCATGACCTGTTTGAAAAGCTGCCCTCCGAGTCCTCTAAGAAATAGATGGAAAGTTGAGTGAAAGCATCTCCCAGGTTGCTAGGTGGAGGTGACTCCTGTAGGAATGTGGTTGTCCTCATTAGGTCTCATTGGCTAACGCTGTATCTAGTAAAGCTCTGGACACATTTAGGCTTGAATTTTATTTATCCTAAAGCTTTTATTACTCTTTTTGAACAGTGTATAAATTAGATTTCTTTTAAAGTCCTTTCAAGGACCAAAGTGATGAAATGACCTTAGAAAAGAGGCAGGATCAGGCCCACTTAGGCTGTGCTGAGTAGGAGGATGATTTTCGTGACACATCATCTAGAAGAGACATTGCATTTCAGCTGTGCCAGGCACAATGCCAGAAAGGTGAGATTTGTGTTTTAGTGGCACCAAGACTGGTTCTTTGGTCTGTAATATTTTGGTCCCACTCCGCACCTGACAGAAAATTTAGAAATGATTTAGTGCCTTTATATGTCAGATTTTTTAAATAGTTGCGTTTATTCTAAATCCAAAACAGTCACTCAGTTGGACAAGTCACATTTACTGTATTGTCACTCCCATCACTTTTTGTCACTTTTAACAATAACTTGCTGATTTCAACCACTAACTCTCCCTCACCCTCGACTTTCTCAGAAAACAACTTGTTCAGAATATGGGATGCTACATTTGGATCCTGTCAAGTCGTGACAGCTTAGTAAAAACTGTTCTGCAGTATTACTTATAAAAGCTTTTCAATTTCAAGAAATTTAAGATTTCTTTTAAAAAACTACTTAAACCAGCATGTTTTAATGTCATTTTGCCAGGCAACATAAGAAGCAGTAATTCATTTTAAAGACCTGACACTTGCACTTTCAGCAGCAAAAATTCTTTTACTTCTTAAGTGCAGAGATACTTTAAAGTTTCCTCTTGCTGTAAATCTGTTGCATTCTGTTGATATTGTCTTTTTATGTAGAAACAAAATACATCCAATTTTCTGGCCAGTTTGTAAAATTGCTTTCTTGAAGTCTAGTAACGGTGTTTCAAAACACTCCAATATTTTCCACACAAAACGAAAAACTGTGTCCCTATAGAACAAACACTGTGAAGGCAGCTCAGACGCCAGGTCTTCAGAACTGCCATTGATGGTTGTGTTCCTTGTGACAAAATATGGCCAGGGAGGGGGCATCCACTTGAATGTGATTTTTAGCTGGAGGAGAGCAGATTAAAAAAAAATAGGTGGCACATATTAATCTATCTATCTATCTATCTATTAAAAACATATCTGTTTATAAGATATGTCATGGAAGCAAGACTTTGAAGTAGTGTGAGGGAAAGGGGTGAGGAAGGCAAAGGGTTCTCACCCGTTGAGAACTGCTGGCTGTATTTGTCTTGCTGGCCCAAGACGGCCAAACCATCCAGCAAGGGCTTGGCAACGCGCTGCAGCCTCCTGCCTTTTGCCACCCTTTTGTGCCAGGGTTCCTGCTTTCTCCTCTCTCCTTTAGGAAATCCTGTCTCTGAGGAGAGGTTTAATTCCATGAACCTGCTGCCATATCACCTCTTCACCGAGGCAGAGATGAGTTCAGGTCTTTTCCTTCGATGTGAATCAGCAATTGCACCAGCCGAGGAGGGGCCGGCTGCCTACAGCAGTGCTTCTGCTGGGACATCTAAGTGGAGGCATTGGGGCAAGTGCGCGTGTCTCTCGTTGCATGATGTTTAATATATTTGTGTTTTCTTTTTCTGCAGGGAAATTAAATTTTGCTTTCACGACCTCATAGCTCGTCCTGTTGATCATGTTGACCATGGAGGAACACAGACTGGACTTGAAGCCTTCTGGATCCACAGTTGCGTCTTCCCTAGCACTGGTTCTGGAAAACACACACTGAACAGTCATTGGTCCCTGAAGAGAGCGTGACTTTTACTTTCTCTTTTTTTGTCCTTGACACCCACCCTGTTTTTTTTCTTCATTGAGAGATAACTAACTCAATAAGACTGAGCACCCGGTTGTCACTTGAGGAATGTACTGTGTCAAAGCCCTGCAGACTTCTGGATTTTTTTTTCCTTTCTCTTCCCGCTTCTGGTTTTATTTATATGTTTTGGTTTTTTCTCTCCTCATTCCCCTGGCTGTCACTGCTGCATCTCGGACGAATGCAGGTGACAGAGCACTACATGCCATGGACGCCAGGCCAGGTGCCGCAGCAAAGAACCCAGTTCCTGTGAGCTGCCTATATGTTGCCGAAGTGACATTTTACACAAAACGTGCCATTGCAGTGATATAAATATATTTTTTTCCTTGAATGGATAATGGATTATTATCTCCTCTGAAAGGTGCGTATGTGTGCTTGTGTGCGTGTGTTTGGGTGCGAGTCACCTCCTGTGTAGATGCCTGTGAATGTGCTGAAAACATCTCTGGAAGTGCAGGAGCCCCCTGTCATACGAGAGCAGGCCAATAGCTCGTGTCTGCAGTGGTAGCAAGAACACATACCTTAAAAAATGTTTAAATTTCTGTATCTATAAGTGTATTTTTTAGCTGCCACACTAACCTTAATGAGTAGTTCTGCAGCCTGAAACAGGGGCAATTTCAAGTTAGTTTTGGATTTGGGGATTACGGGATCCATAAGGGTGCTAAAGATTTTCATAAGTGTCATTTATTCGTACGAATGCCCTGTTTATGATCAAGACCGACCAGTTTCTCAATGGCAAGGTGATGGAGGCAGCACCTGCATATCCATCAGGTAGCCCTGAACGGAATTCTTAAGTAGCCTTTTTTATCTGCAAAAATTTTAAAGACTTGTTGAATGCGAACAAATATATGCAATTCTTCCATTCACAGAAGCACCTTGCTCTGTGTGCAAGCTGTGAAACTTGTGACGTAGTAATCAAAACACTTCATTTGCTCCCAGCGCAGTTAAGGATCAAAGACGTGACAAGACCTGTAAGCTTAGTAGTTAGCAAGAGTTGTGACGTGTGTCCTGTTCCTCGTGCGGGTGGTGAAGAGCTGGTGAAGCGCAGTCAAAGGCACTCTTTCTCCTGCGGCCCGAGGAGCAGAGCTGCGACTTACTGGTACTACCTAGAGGAGATTTCTGTGTTTGGAGAATTCACTGTTAACGTAGCGTGAGCTGGTGTGAGCGGAGCCGTGTGCCAGAGCCCGGGGCACGTGTGGCTGCTGGTCCCTGGAGCAGGGCAGGCGATGCTCGGCCGCAGGGGCCTGTGTTGGCCGCGGTGCCCCTGTGCCAGCCAGCCAGCTGCCATGGCACTGGGGGTCGCTCCAGCAGATGCAGGGGAGGCTGGATGCGCTGCGTTAGGAGAGCGCAGCCTTGACC